ATCACCCCCTATTCTGCATGTGTGTGTGTGTACATGTGTCCCAGAAATTATAAATGCCAGCATCTCTGGATGCTGTACAGATATTGACTGATTGGTTAGTTAATTGCCATTTGACCCTGTGTCTTTAAGTCATGATCCACCCTGAGCTCGGAACACCTGAGAATCTCAATGGCATATTTTAAGCATATTGAGGCATTTCATCATGCCTCCCCCAACTCCAGGCCTTCACTTCCTCATCTCTACCATCTGGGTCTCGCCAAACTCCAAAATGGAGCAGTGAATCAGCTCCCTCTGTTAACTTCAGCCTTCAGCATCTGCCAGACTGCCAAGGAAGAGCCATTCCAAGACCATGCATGGGAGGAAAGGAATGGACACCTTAGGGATGGACTAGGTGGAAACTAGAATTGAACACTTCTCAGTGAAGGCTGATTCCACCCATGGGCTCCCAGGGCTTCCTCCAGGTGACCTTGCCTTTACAGAGGAGGGGGCACAGAACGGGGAGAGATGTCTGTAAGCCTACTTAAATGCTGACGGGGAATTAGAAAGAGCTTCCTGGAGGAATGAGCACTTGAGAGGAGCCTTGAAGAGTGACAGAACAGTATGTCATCCTAATGACCGTAAGACGGAGTTATCAACATGGTTCAGCTGCTTTACAGAACTAGCCCCAATACATCTCCATGCTCATCTGACATATGAGGAACAGTTAAAAACAAAAACAAAACTGGAAAGCTCCAGAACCTAGATGTATGGCTCTACAAAGGCTGTCACCCCAGACTCCACAGGCAGGGACAGCATGTTCTAGCAAGTCCCAAGTAGACGGCAGAGCCCAGGGTTACAGTGGGCACCTGGATGCAGCTGACTGGGGAGCGCCTGAAGGGTAGGACCACCCACCCGCCGTTACTCTGTGACAGGACAGTCACACACAGGGGCTGTGACAGGACCAAACTGGAGCCACAGATAACAGCTCTGGTGTCAGAGAGGAGGAACTTACTAGGCCATCGCGAGGGTGAGAGACCGCTGCTGGGGAAAGTAGGCCGGTGTGTGGAAACGGGCAAGCACCTGCTTATGTGTCAGCGACAGAGGGTTATGTATGTGTGAGGAAGGGACTGGGCACGGAAGTGCAAGCGTGCTTATCTGTGAGTCAGGGAGTCCTCCTGTGGAGGGACAGGGCCACAAGGAGGGGCAGGGGTCTCCTGATGGAAGATAGAGGTGAGGTGGGCTGGCAGGGGGAGGGACAGGCCAAATCATTAGATCTGCCTGAGCAGGAGTGAATAAGAAAGCATGGCTCCACAGCTCTACAGGGCTCTGAGAAACGCACAGGGTCTGCCATATTGAAGGGACTTGGCATTTGCTAAAAGCATGAATGAATAAAACCTGGGTCCGGCTTTGCTCCCGAGCTGTGGAGAGCAGAGGGTCTCTGACTCTGTTTTGACTGGGCAGAGGCACTTCCACGGTCCCAATTTGATCTCTGGGGTCCTTCTTCCTTCCTCCCCGCCCCCTCACCCAGCCAGACATTGTTGTGACAAAAGTTTTCCTATGCTGTTTCCAAGCTGGCTTTATATTTCCTGGGTCAAAGTTCTCCCTTTTAAAGCAGAGAAGATGCTGTTAAATGGGCTCCCTCCCAGCTTCTGCCATGGCCAGAGAGGTCCAGCTTCTTGCCAAGGACAGAGATCCAAGATAATGTGTTCCCAAGCTCTTAAAACTGTCCGGAGGTCTTCAGAGACGCACTAAATGCTGTCCCCAGTCTCAGACTCAGCAGAGGTGGCCATTTGGGCCCTTTAAGCTTTTTAGGCCCCATGTGTGTCCTAGCAGAACAGACAGATGACTCTTGCCCAGGAAGTCCCTCCCCTACTCAGCCCATCCTTGGCCTCCCAGCCATTGCCCGGCCAGTGGTGAAAAAGGACCTTTCTCCAGAGAGGCTGGACAGTCTCTTTCCAGCTTAGTTCAACCGTACCCCCGCCACTTTGGTGTCTACAGAGAAATGCAATCTTTTAAGATTGTAGAATCCACACACATTTGGAGGAAGGAGGTGGCTTGGAAATGACTAACTCCCCTGTGGACAGATCCGGAAACAAATGTCCAAGATCTTGGAGGCCACAGGTTACTTGAGCACAGACCAAGCCATTTTTAGGTTGCACCAAGAGACCTGTGGCATGTGTGGAGTAAATGCATTTCCTCTTGGGAAGCACAGTATGCAGGGCTGGGCCAGGGAGCTAGAGCCAGGCTTTTTGTGGGCCACAGGCTCTGTCTCCTGTGAGCTGTGCCTTTTCAGCGCACCCCAGGAGGAGAAGACGGCAATCTGTTAGATGGTGATCCTAGTGGCTACCTGGCACTAACTGCACCCAGATGGTAGCCTGTTGCATCCAGCAGGAAGCAAGTGGAGGTCGAGGACTGTGTGCTCCCCATGGGGGGATCTAGGTAGGTTGATTTCCAAAGGCTGGGGGAGGGGGTCTAAGATTCTCTTCACATCTCTCCTTACCACATCCTTCAACTTCGCTCTCTAAGAAAATATAATGAGGCAGATGCCTCTATCGTCCACACCCAATATGAGGGGATCCTCACTTTGGAAGGGACATTTCCAATCTCCAAAGGACTGATTGCCACCAAGGGAAGAAGGTAAGAGGTACAGGCCTGACAGTGTGGAATCCAAAACCTTGCCTGTGAAGTTTGGCCTCAAGCACTACTGGTTGTGAGACTTTGCCTCAGTTTCCCAACCTGCATCACTGTCCTGAGGCTCTGGAGTCAGGGACTGTGTCTCTTTCCTCACTGTCATGTCCCCAGAAGTTAATAGATAGTGGGTGCTTAAAACCATTGAATGACTGAACGAAATGGGCTCTCCGCCAGTCCAAGGGGCAGCTGGAACCCGGAGGGGAACTCTTTCCTGGAGCTCCAGCCATCGGAGAGCAAGTCTTGGAAGCGTCCTGACAATTCAGCAGCCCTTGGCAGTGCTGCTTATTCTCTCAGAGGCTTAGAAATGAATGGAGGAGCAATCAGGAAGCGGGAAAATGGGGCTGGAGAGAGAGAGACCTGAACTCCACACAGCAGCTGAGTACCTGACTTCCACACACCTGGAACCCTAACAGCTCTGCTCCCTGCTTCTTCTTTCTGCCTACTTGCGTTCTCCATAACAGGCTTCTCTCCCCTCCACAGAGTCCCCTCCAGTCAGAAGGAACCCTTGGAAGAACACAGCTGGCAGAGATGTAAATTCTGGTTTGTGCCCTGCCTGGCCCTGGAGTCTGGCACCTAGGAGAGGTGCCCCTCTACTAAGGAGGCCTGGAAGCTTTGCTTTCACCATGTCCCGCAAGGTGCCTGGGAGATGTCAGAGTCCCCTCTGGGCTTCTCCCTCTCCTGCTTCATACTCTAGACATCCAGGGTAAGGCTGAACAGCAAGAAAACCATCCTCTCTCTCAGCGTGGCCTCACGCAGCCTGGCGTGTGTGTGTGTGTGTGTGTGTGTGTGTGTGTGTGTGTTGGTAAAGTGATGATTTGTGTTACAGAATGAAGGCTGAGGGTTGGTGGTATGCAATGTCAGTGTGTATGTGGAGGATGCATACAGTGTATCTGGTGTGGTTGTATGGTGTGTGTGTGTGGTGTAGTTGGTGTGTATGTGGTGTGTAAGGTGCGTGATATGTTAGGTGTTTATGTGGTGTGGTGTGGTGTGGTGTGCATTTGGTGTCTTTGGTGTTTATGTGTTGTGTTTCATGAGGTGTGCTCAGTGTACATGTGATATATATGTGTGTGGATTATGTTAATGGACTGTGTGGGGTGGCAGGCATGTGAGGCTGTGACGATAATGGGTGTAGTATGTGTACATTTGTTTTTGTGGAGCTTATGATTATGGGATGGGTAAAGGGTCAGGCAGTTTAGAGTAGGAGCCAGCCATAGGGTGTCCTCCCTTAAAAGCCAAGGGTAACCAGTATCTAGGCAACCATATTGGGGGAGGGGAGGCAATCGGAGGTGAGGAATGGGCAGAAAAGGGAGGGAGGCTGAAGTGAAGGGGTTTCCATGGCAACCATGAGACAGGTCACGTGCAAAAGGCCAAGTTGGAAAACAGATACCGACATTCATATATCTACAGTATGAGGTCAGCCAGAGTTCCAGAGCCAGGGGTCCTTCCACAGAGGGCTGGGATGCTCCCTGGTCCCTCTACAAATCTGGAAATCCCAGTTCCTACAGCCCAGGTTAGACAAAGAGAATGAAGGCAGAGGGCACATCAGTGGGGCCAAGCCTCGGTCTGCACAGCAACCTCTGTGTCTGGAGGTTGGTGGCAGCTTGGATGGGCCCATATTTCCAACCTGACTATTCCGGAGCAGGCGCCCAGAGACCCAGGCTCTCAGCCAACTCTACAAAAACAAAAAACAAAAACCGTGCAGACACAAAGGGGGAGGCTCCACCGGGGCTGGGGAACGGTGGAGATAGGGTACCTGTGGCCCTGGAAAGAAAAACCGGGCTTGACAGACCAAGAGAAGTCAATGTATCAGATGAATCCCCTCACCCTAGAATCCCAATGCCTTCTTCAGGGCTCCCTCTCCACTCCCCCAGCCCACGCCCACACCCCACAAGCACCAAGCCAGCAAGTTCCATTTTGTGTGGCTCATGTGTCCACATTCCCAGCTAGTCACATTCCCCGTTCCTAGCATCTCCCACTCCCCTAGGGTCTCCAGCTTCCAAGTAACAAAAGGGAAGCTTCCCCGTTAAAGGGTCCTCTCCCCTTTTCCTGGAGCTCCTGATCCAAGCTCAGAGCAGCCTCGAAAGCATTTCCCAGCCACTAGCATCACCCACGCCACTGCCTGCTTTCCTATCCCGGAACCCTTGGCCTCCGAATGCTTACCTCCTTGTTTACATCCTCAAAGCCGTTTCCCGCCGCCCAGGCGGGGAAGTGGGCACACACCCACTGAAACAAACAACACTCGGAGAAATCTGGCGCTAGAGGAACGGGTCCCCAACCGAACCTCCTCCCCTCGGAATAAGGCGCCAACTTTGCCCACCTCCCCTGCTCACCTGGACGTTGGGTCCCCTCCGAGCGGATCCCGGGAGGATGTGCGGAGTTCCAGCAGCCGGGAGTGGCGCGCTGGGGGCAGGGCAGTGGGCGCGGCTTGTAGCTTTCCCGCCTCCCGGAGCGGGCTGACGGGCTGGGCTCTCGGGTGGCCCTTGTCCGCAGGCTTCTCGGACCGTGACCGACCTCTGCGCTGTCGTCGCCCGCTCCTTCCTCTCCTCGAGCTCTTCGCAAAGGGAAGTGAGGCTGGAAGAAGCAACAGGAGACGCGCGCGGAGGAGGCGCCCAGCGCCCGAGCGAATTTGACAGCAGCTGTTGCTTTTTGATTTTCCTCCTCTGGCGAGGGTAGGAAGCTAGCCAGACTAACACCGTGACAAGGCTGGTGTCTTTTGGAAATAGTAAACTCAGGGGAGGAAAGCAGAAAAATAGGAGGAAACAACTGTGCATCAACCACCCGCAACCTGCATTCTTTGGGTGTGTTAGCAATTAGCGTGAACGGAACCAGAGGTGGGTGGAGTTGTCATTTCAAATAGAGCTGTGGGCTGTGGGGACAAGGCTCTCACCTGAACCAGGATTATGCTGCGCAGGAACCCGTTTTCAAGACACCCCCTCCACACACACACACACACACACACACACACACACACACACACACACACACACACACACACAAACCCTGACTCTGTCAGAAGGCTGTAAGAGTAGCTCTTTCCAGTCTAGTCTCTGAGTCAAAATTCGAGATAACAAATGAATTTGAAGATTTACATCCTAGCTCTGCAATCCTACCTGTAGCGTCAGCTTGAAGGCTCACATATGAAGTCTTCCATTCTCTCACCGGAGATAGGGGAGGTGAGCATAACCCCCAGCAGGTTTTTGACTCACTGTCTCTAATGAGGGCAGAGCTTGCAAGAATGGACAGAGGTCAGCTACCCTACCAGGTTGGTGGACAGGAAGCCCTGCTATGAGGAAGGTTGTCCAAGTCACTCAGCGTGTGTGTTCAAAGGTTGAGGAGAGCAGCTGTCATCATCCCATTCCAGGTCTGATCACAAGGGCTCCCTGACAACCCCCAATCCCTGAAGTGATGGCCCTGCCAGCAAGAGTCCCAGCCCTGCCTCTCCAGCACCCCAGACCTAGACTGGTTTCTCATTTGTGAAAAGAAAGAGGGGAATCTCTGCACATGGTGGTGCAGGCCTTTAATCCCAGCACTTGGGAGGCAGAAGCAGGCACATCCATGAGTTTGAGACCAGCCTGGTCTACAGAGTAAGTTCCATGACAGCCTGGGCTACACAGAAATCCTATCTCAAAAAACCAAAAGGAAAACTTTTTTTTTTAAAGAATGGGGAACTTGATATTTCTGTGACCCTTCAACTTTATTGAATTATATGTTTTGTTTATTGAGACAGGGTTTCTCTGTGTAGCTTGGCTGTCCTGGAATTCACTCACTCTCTAGACCAGGCTGGCCTCAAACTCAGAGACCCGCCTGCCTCTGCCTCCTGAGTGCTGGGATTAAAGGCGTGCGCCACCACTGCCCAGCTTGGTTGAATTATTTTAATTAATGGCCAGCTCTCAAAAGCCCAAGGCAGGAAATAGACATGAAATCAAGGAGGCCTTGGAGCTGGCAGAGAAGCCATCAATGCCTGCCAGGAAGGAACTGAGTTACCCTGCCTAAGGGGAGTCTGTGGAAGACAGTTTGACCCCTTGAGCACAGGACATCAGGATGCTGGGCTGAAAGGACTCCACCCTGACCCAGTTTCAAAGTCACTAGGGTTCTTGTGACAACGAATTGCTATTATCAAAGTCTGGCTCAAGTCTTGCCGATTCACGTGACTCCTGACCCTCTGTCCCCAACCTTTCCTCTGTAAGCTGTACAGAGGACTGTAACCCCTGTCCCTCTCCACTTGCCCAGCGTGGGAGAGATGATACCACATCTCTTACTAGTCCCGTGCCCTGGGCAAGCAGATTGGATCCTCCCTCACAATGCCCTTGAACCACTTACAAGTTGTCCTTGGGAGCCACTCCTAGTACGAGGATGCCAGGCCCAGGCTTTGCAGGCCTGTTTGGGAAAGGACAGGCCAATGGGTCTCCTTGCCCAAGCACCTGTTGCTTCAGTCTGTTTTCTGCCAGAGGATGTGGCCTCGTCTCTCCCCAGGCCTGTGCCTGATGCTGCTGGCTGTCCTGGCTCAGGAGGACAATGGAAGTCAAGCCTGTGCGGACTGGCCAGGGCTCACCTCTCAAACAAGGCTCTTTTTTGTTTATCCAGGTGGAATGTGGGACGTCACTGCTACTAAGAGAGTCATCTCTTCCTTCTAGGGGGTAAAGAAGCACATCTGGTTCCTGTGATGAGTGTGACTAGGGGCTAAAAGAGGCTACCAGTTGCTCTGCTCTTCAACGCACTCCTGTGGGGGATGACTCTTCTCTGAGCCCTGGGCCCAGCTCTGCAGATACAAGAGAGGAAGGAAAGGCATGTTCCCTCATAAATAATGGGTGAAATGGGCTAGAGAGATGGCTCATAAGTTAAGAGCACTGGCTGTTATTCCAGAGAACCTGGGTTTGAGTCCCAGCACCCCCATGGTGGCTCCCAGCCATCTGTAATTGCAGTTTGGGGGAACTGACCCCCTTTCCTAGCTTCCACTGACACAGCAACACATGTGATCCCAGACATATAAGCTGAGCAAAACACCCATATACATTAAATAAATAAATATTAAAAATAATGGGTGAAATGGATATCTATCAAATGATTCCATGGTTTGGAGCCCTGAGAATGTAGCATCTACAAAGAAAGCTGGAGACTCAGGGAGTATTAAGGAAGTGAGGTGACAGAAGAAAGAACTGAGGTGTCAAGAAGGGTTGGGAAGTTAGCCCAGCTCTAGAATAGAAGCAATGTTTGTGTGTGCAAAGGCCCTGGGGCCGAGTGTGTAGGGTGGGAGTTTCTCCTGGTGTGGCAGTAACAGAAGATACAGGCTAGGGAAGGGCACAGATGCCAGCAAGGGATCCCAGCTTCTGTCTTCAGGGCAATGGGAAGCCTCTGGAGGCATAAGACAGTTCCTGTGAACAAGAACTAAGGAGAGGCTGGCTCAAATGGTTCCTGAACAATCTACAGTCAGGATTTAGAAGACTATAGACAGGGTACAGAGAAATGAGCGTGGATCCCTACTTAACAAATGCATCTCTACAAGCCTGAGGAAGAGGAGGAGGCAGCCGAGGCAAGACTGCACACCCTGAGGAAAAGGGGCAGCTGAGGCAGGATTGCACGCCAGGGTGGGAGTCAGGTAAGAAAGGGCAGAAAGTTTCCTAAATAGCACAGTGCAGGAGTGGAGTGAGTCTCTCTCTCTCTCTCTCTCTCTCTCTCTCTCTCTCTCTCTCTCTCTCTCTCTCTCTCTCACACACACACACACACACACACACACCATACATGAAGACATAGGAGTGCCTCTCTCTCTCTCTCTTTCTCTCTCCCCCCCACAACATACATGAAGACATAGGAGTGCCTCTCTCTCTCTGTCTCTCTCTCTCTCCCTCCCTCCCTCCCTCTCTCTCTGTCTCTCCCTCCCTCCCTCCCTCTCTCTCTCTCCCTCTCTCTCTGTCTCTCTCTCTCTCTCACACACACACACACACACACACACACACACACACACACACACACACACACGGAGGGGAAACAAGAACGTGAGAGTGCCCAGGTGTGGAGCCATGGAAAGACCCAGTGCTGGGCTTGTCAGGACAATGCACGGTTGAGTGGGTCACAGCCTGCTCTATGCTAGACAGTTGACACGAAACCACACAACTAACCCCCATCCTAAAAGCAGTCGCCTAGGTGCTTGTGCTGTGGCAGAAGTCGCCCTTCCAGAGTCAGTGGGAAGGCTGCCTTGTTCAAAGAACAGGGGGTCTCACATGGGCAATTAAAAGGGTAAGTAAGGGGTGACCAGAAATCTTAGTTACCCTGACCATCCTAACTCGTAACTCTCCAAGGGTGCAGACTGAGAAAGGGAGGCATCCCCCTCACAACTGCTGCTGTGTACCCATTCACCCCTTCCTTATACAGCCTGTCACCCCAGAGGAGAGCAACTCCGAGACTCCCTGCTTATCCCAAACCACTCCCTGATCCTCCTCCCTAGCCTTTCCCACATTCCTCTGTGCTTCTCCCTGGTGAAACTGTCAGGCCCTTTGTCCCTTCATGGAATTTCCAAGCAATCTGATTAACAGCCATGTTTTTTGGCACTGGCCTATGCTTAAGCCTCTTCTGTAGACAAAGAATCCAGGAACTTCACATACTGAGTCCAGAATCCCGTGTGTGTTAGTCATCATTCCTCCAGTGTAACACATACCTAAATTAAGTCAACTTAGAAAGAGAAAGGGGCTGGGTGGTGGCGGTGCATGCCTTTAATCCCAGCACTTAGGGGACAGAGGCAGGTGGATCCCTGTGAGTTCAAAGCCAGCCTGGCCTACAGAGTGAGTTCCAGGATAGCCAAGGCTACACAGAGAAACCCTGTCTTTAAAAAAAGGAAGGGAAGGGAAGGGTTATTTGGCATGGCTTTGGAGGGTTCAGTTTATGGTCAATGAGCTTGTGTTGAGTCAGAAAGTCTCGTGGGAAACACAGGGCATGGTAGAGGAAAGAAACTCAGCTCCTGGTATCTGAGGTAAAGGGAAAAGAGGAAGAGGAGGAGGAGGAAGGGGGTACAGGAAAGATGTGGGGATGGGGGCATCTGGGTCCTCACTAGCTCCTTCAAGGACACTCGATGACCTGAAGACTCTCATTAGGTTGCATCTTTTAAAGATGCTCCTACTTCCCGATAGTGCCAAGGGCTGAGACCAAGCCTGAAACACAAGCATCACATTCCATATGTGAACCAGAAGTCATAGCACCATCTCTCCAAGTGGCCTACGTCTTTCAACAGCACTGCCCTCAGCTCACTTCATCATCCAGAAAAGTCCATGCCACACCCTCCTCCAGTTCCTCTCTCGGCTGTGTGTTCCCTTGTAGCCATCACTTCCATGATAGATCAGACCTCCGTGGCACCAGCCTTCTGCTGCTGGCTCTGCTTCAGTCTCCGAACTTCTACCTCCATTGACTTCTGTTTGGTAGAGGTAATAGTTACTTTTTTTTCATTGTTGTGGCAAAATGCCTTGTAGGTCCACTTTTCTATCCTGCCAGCCAGTTCCCAAGTAATCACACTGAGACTTATTAATTATAAATGCTCAGCCAACAGCTCAGGCTTGTTACTAGCTAACTCTCACATTTTCAATTAAGAGTATTTCACATCTATACTCTGCCACATGACTCGGTACCTTTTCTCAGTACGGCAAGTTCATCTCCTTCTCTCTTG